GATATCAGCTGCAACAGCCTACTGTATGAGAGATCAGCTTACGGGATGGAATATCCTTAATGAGTGAAAGCTACAATATTGACTTGATTAGAAACCTAAATTTACGATAGCATGATGTACTTCTGTACCGAATAAGTGGTCTTGGATGTCCTTTTAAACTGAATGATGCTGTTTGGAAAAGACCGTCAGACCAAGTCTTCCTCATATATTTCCCTTGCATAGAGATACATTTTTATAAAGGTATTTACTTTATTGCTCATGTGAGTCATTATCAGCTGGAACTAGAAATCAGAACATTAACATTGTCCGAAGTTATTTTTTCGTACAATTTAGCTTTTATAGAATTTGTGGGTAGCTAAAATGTATTATGTTCAACCAACAGATGGCCTCCCAATGTTCCCAGTCGAATTAAAAGTACTCTGCGATTATACCAATAACCTGCGTATGAACTATTGCATGAAGTGGTATATTTACGATGATCAGCAAACCATGGGGAATAAAATGTTTATCTTTCTCAGTTATATTGCTTTCTAGTACAAATGATGACTGCTTGTCCACCAAGAACACATTACTATATCATTTAGCTTTGGTAGCAATGGTGCATTTCTTAATATTTAAATGCATCTACGAATGGTTGGTAGCATAATTATTTGTCCCCAAATGCCCTGGGACGGTCGAGGGTGGGGAGAGTCCGCTCTCACACTCGAGATACTCTCACATGGCTACGTGTATACAGACACTCTCAGGGAAGTCCTACCCACTGCCTTCTTGTGGCATTACTGTGATTTACGAAATTGAACGGACGAAAAGCGAATGTCCGCCTCTTTAACCGGGTTGGTGGTCACAGAAGGTCCACCTAGGGGAGTTGGAAAAACCTGATTCCTAACCAATGGTGCAGATGAGCGCCAGGATCCCGAGGGAAAAAATGGAGTATGAACCTATTGTTGGTCACTGGCTACCATTGGACTGCATCTCCTAATGTTGCTCCACTGCCATGTGGATTAGACCTTCAGGTCAAATGGTCGGTGTGGGGCCCCAAAAGATAACCACCTGCTTCGATTCGGGCACCCGAGCAGTGTCACAGCCCTCACACGAATTAGTGATAACTACTACTGTTCTCATTGTTATTGTGTGGCGCATATGTATTCGGTGCCTCCTTGTACCAATGTTTATGTGATCAAATAATAATAAACAATTATGTCAGATCATGCCAGTTTCCTTATTTTTGTCTGTTTTCATCATAGACGACAGGCTTAGAGAATATAAATAACAACTATCGCAATACTCTATCTTATGACTGTTCACCAAAAAGTTGACAAATGCATCCATAAAGGCCCAGCACCAATCAATTGCTACAATCTACCTTTTGGGTAAAAATTGTCTTGAAAAAAATGTTGGGGCGGGTGCATTCATCAACATAAAATGTAGCATTCAAATAAACACTTATTAAAAATGTTTAAGTGAGGTAAAAAAAAAGGACTGCTAAATCGACCATTAATATATTGACAAACTGAAATAAGTGGCAGGTATCTTATACATAACATGATAATTGGCTTAACAAAGAAGACTCCAAATCGAGTTTTTAAAACATTAAACTACAATACTGTCTACCTAAGAAACCAAACAGCATATGATTACCGTCATAAGGGGTAGGAATTTGTTTAATATTTGAAGTTCTAAATCGAACCGATACTCAGAAACCTATTATTTACTCTCAGTTGTCTGAATATTTCATCATTTCTGTAAGTAACCAAATTTTACACTTAAATTAAATTAAAGAGGCAATCTTGTTCAGTCCTTATGATTTCTGTTAAATTGAGTACAATCACCGAGTAGTCATCGTTCGCTAACATTGTATCATCTTGCATCAATTGATCAACCTCTATCCTTCATTTTAGGATGACGCATGCTCACAACCACAGCTGTGAATGCAGTAATTGTATATTAGCATCACTAAAATAGGCATGAGTAACGTAGAACCTGTTGTGACCAGTGCAACGCTGCGTCAGCGCAGAGAAAGCAAAAAGAAAACAGTACTAAGAGTAATAATTATAATGTAGAGATAACAGAGAATATAGTGTTGACTAATCGGGGAAGTTATTGGATTAAACGCATCGGATACACTTCACAGGTTCAATTTTCGTCATGTAGTATTTACAGTAACGTGTGGTGATATCAGGGATGAAGTCATACTGACAGCTGGATAGAAATGTGGAAGACGTGACATATATCTTAAGAGGATGTAACCTTCCGCCGCGTGGCTAGGCGAAGTAGCCGCCGTCACGACACATATGAGTTCCAAACATGTAACAGCTAATGTCGATTTCAGTACATTGAAATACCACTCATGCTTGGCTAAAAGCATACTGTTAACTACACAGTAAAGCACTCAACCTAAAAACCCTATTTAAAATAGGATAGATAGCATATCGGGTAAGTTCCAAGGAAAGTCTTAGTAATAGGTGATTTTCTCATATTTGAGGAACACGTCTCCTATGATTTCATTTTGACAACCAACAATTTCCTTTCAACACTAAGCTAATTGACTTGATGACCGCCGATACAAAGTCACAGATAAATCACTGTGGGTCATTGTTAGGTTAGATAGGTAGAAGACTGCCACTTTATTCCGCGTGACTTCTGAACTGTAGTTACTCGTTACCCTGACAGAGCCAAAATAGTTTACGCACTGAATTAAACGTCATACAATGACCATGAGAAATAGCAGATAGTAAGCTGTCATCAGATAGTAGCCAGCAATTATTTGAATTGTTTCCCAGAAGCCTATAGTCAACAAGACTAGCAGAGCGAAAGATGGATTGTTGATAAGCTTTAAGAAAATGTGACTGAGACCCCAGGTTAACTGACCTATGATCTGTAAATTGAGGTAGTTAGGATGGTTTCTCTGAATAGTTTGAACTAAGAACCAAAATATAGATAGACTTAAAACTCGAACGAAACCGCCAAGCCACGTTGGATGTCATATTTTACGGTCGAAGCATGAAACTAGAATCCACACGATTGATAAAAATCTTACAAATCTACTTACTTCGTGCAAAGTAATTTGATTTGTGACTTTAGCTTCTCTATCTCTCTGCGACAAGCAAGTCCCAAGCGGAAGAAGTTGTCTGTAATTTGATCTTTTTTAGCAATTAAAACCAAGCGTTCTTTTTCCAGACGACTGACGTGTGCATTCAGTGCCTCAACTTCCGCTTCCAATAATGAAGATTGGGATTGGAGAGAACGTACATGTTCGGGCTTTAAGAAAGAAAGACGACATCAACTTTAAGTTCTTAGTCTGTAACAAGAAAACTATGTAACCAAAGCCATAACAACAACCATGACAAATTCTGAATATTTTCCTTCAAAAATCATGGAGTCCCTGATATGCGATGGTATACATGACTATTTACTGTCCTTAAATTTCTTACCCCAGAAGCATGGTTTCAGGAAGGGTTACTCTTGTATAACCAAACTGCTAACTGCGGTGGACAGATGTGCAAGCATCTTTGATCGCAAGGGGAGGGTTGACATAATTTACCTTGATTTCTCAAAAGCTTTTGATAGGGTTGACCATATATGTCTTATCCATAAGCTCAAATAATTGGGTATCAGACTACCTCTAATTGATTGGCTCACTTCATATCAGAAAAATCAACATTTTAAGGTCGAGGTTAACTTCACTTTATCTCAGTCTATGGAATATTCTAGTGAGGTCCCCCAGAGTTCAGTACTAGGACCTCCTCTCTTCTTCATTTATATAAACAATCTTCCACAACAGGTATCGTCGGACTTATTACGTTTTGCTGATGACGTGATACTTTTGAAAGAGATACGCAACGAAGACGATATACAGACAATTCAGGAGGATCTGACTCGACTTCAGAGTTTGGCAGACGACAACGGACTTACCTTTAACACTTTCAAAGCGTAAAGTAGTCCATCTGCGACAAGTCGCAGACTAGTTACAACTTAAGGAACTCCTCTCTAGTAGTATCCCGAGTCGAAGAAAGTTTAGGAGTTCTGGTACCCTGTGATTTGAAGTCTTACGCTAGCCGTGACAAAAATGCCTTCCGAGCAAACCTTGCACTGGTAACATTGAAGCGCATTTTTGGCCAGTTTGACGGAAGAAATTTCCACATAATCTTCAACAGTTTTATTCGTCCCCATTTAGAGTACGGAAACATAGTATTTCTCCCCCTCCAAAAGGATAGGGACACTCTGGAGCCTATCCAACGGCGAGCCACGAAATTAGTTCGGGGACTCATTCAAACCTTATGAAGAGCGCCTCCAATCACTTAACCTTTACCCATTAGAGTATGGGCGTCTTAAAGGTGACCTTTTGATGGCTTACAGTACCCTTAGCACTCCTGGACATCCCCTTAAACACCTAATTAAGCTTAGTCCCAATACAAACCTATGGGGTAACACCCGGAAAGTGGAGATACAACACAGCAGAATGGACTGTAGACACAAATTCTGCTCCTTAAGAGTTGTCAAATGCTGGAATTCGCTGCCGACTAAACTATTCCAAGCGACTTTCCAGGAGTCCTTGAAGAGGAAACTCGACCTATTCTTAAAGACTAAGGATATTATCTTATTATGAGTTACCAATCTTTTTTTCTGATCATACAGTTAATATACCTAGGTTCCTGCCTGGAGGTATTGGTGATCCCCTGCTACTAGACACGGAAGCCTGTTAAGCGAAAGCTTCTTCTATTCCGTCCACAACTATTTGAACCATTTGAACACCACCAACCCAAGTCCTTCAAATACTATATGCCCGCTTAGAGCTAAGCCGCTCAAGGTCGTGGAGGCAGTCTTGACCTGGTCTTTTCGGTCGTGGAATCATCCTATTTTAGGCAGTCAGTTTGTCTTATTTTCGCTCGTGTTGTCGCTATTTTGTGTCTATCGTCTTCGTAATTTTACGTTGGTGAACCTCCAGGACAAACACGCTTTACAGAGTCCAGAAGTTGTGCTGTCTCACTTGTTTAACTTCAATGAGTCTACTCGATAGTTGGAATTCACCTAAATACGTTTTAGCACCTATGGTTGATGGCAGTGAACTTGCCTGGAGGATGCTTGGTCGTAAATATGGAGTTCAACTAACTTTCACACCCATGATTAACTCGACTGCATTTCTCATTAACATGAAATACCGCCGGAGTTGCTTGCAGTTCGCCTCAGAAGACCGACCACTTATTGTTCAAGTGCGCATGTCCGAAAAAATTATTACTTTCGTTTCAAGTTTTGTGCTAATTCTCCAGATACATTTGTTAGGTGTGCTAAATTGGTGCAGCCCTTTTGCGATGCAGTCGACCTGAATCTCGGTTGCCCTCAAGGAATTGCTAGAAGAGGGCATTATGGTGCGTTTTTACAAGATGAGTGGAATTCTCTCAAGGAGATAGGTAAGTCCAATTCAAAAACGTGTTTTTTTAATGGCAATTGACGTTAATAAGATAAGCTCCATAATTGTTAAATGACCAGAGTAAAATTCTATCTGGGAAACTGATCAGAACGACTCATATGTTTTTCTAACCCTGGATGTTGAGTGTGTTCCACGAAGCGCACGTTAGTGTGCGATGCCTTTCCCTCACTTTACTTTTTGGAAGAAATCATCTTATCCTTCGGCCTATAAAAAGGTACGTTATATTCAGTAAATCGTTAGATTTTCAGTACTATCGAATGCGTTTATAGTATTCGGAATGTACGCGTCATGAAGCGACTTGACATTTATGTCAATCCACATGTTCTCCCACGGTTCCTAAATATCTTAGACAACCTACTGCATAACGTTATGTGCAGTTATTCTTGCGAATATCATAGCACGTATCAGTCTTTGACAACAGGTTGGTTTCGAAATCGTCCTATAAAAATTAATAAACTCAGTTTCATACAGCGTACTCGGAGTACATCATGGGACATTTTTTATGCTCATTTCCATAGAATTTATGGTATGGAAGTTAATCTGCGTGCGTATCACTCCATATTCTTTATCAGACTATAAACAGTTGCGTAATAGGTTCTCCACAACCCGTGTGAACTTTCAAAGGTTGACAAAATGGTAATGTGTGGCGATTTAACAGTGCAACCATCTGTACACCGAGTAACTATTGTCCTATGGATTAGCACTAGAAGTTCAATCATTCTCGATAAAACCCTAAATTGTGTCAGGTTTGGATCATTAAAATAGCTAGAAGTGCAGTGCAGTTGTCAGAAAGCTGCTTCGGTGGTTTAAGATAGTTCATTACTCCACAAAATTGGTTCAGGTCGTAGTAGGTTGAAATAATTTAAACACCTTAAGCCTGAAAAAATTTATTATCAACTAACGCAGTCATTTTTTTTGTACTCTGTTATTCTGTGCTCGTCCATATTTTGGGTTCTGTCTGAAAATAACTATTTCATAAGTTAAAGAATAGCTAAGGATATATATGCTCTAGATCTAGTTATTTCATGAAAAGATTAGCCGTATTTCATGTTTATAATTGTCATTTATATTCTTAAAGCCTGATTTCGCATTGATGTAGTTAAGTATAAAACCATTTGGATATTGTTTAAACTTCTAGTCGTGTTTATTATTAAATTTCTTAATAACTGCCTCGGATAACTTGGTTTCCAACATGTCTACTAAACTTGAAGCACTACGACGTTCATTAGATTTAAGGAGGCTACCGAAATCTACTTGATACAGTATCTATGAATACTCGACCATAGAAGTTGATGGTTTGTTCAAGCCGAAGTTTTTATAAACGGGCATTTCCCATATTGATTGTCAGCTAGTACATGTAAAGTTGTAGAAGAAATTTGTTTGAAAAAAACAAGGTTCATGATTAATCGTAAACCTATACAGCCTATAATGATTGCGTCACATCCCACTGTGGTTATGAACTTAAGTGTGTGTGACCACACGTAGATAAATAGGAGTAATCGTGATTTGCAAATAATGGTATCTGAGCAAGGGCTACAGTAGTTGCAAAAACAAATAAAATGAAATGACCAAATAAGAATAGATGATAAACATCTATCTTCTATTGCTAAACACGGTTGAAACATGTCATAAGATTTGTCAGCCTTTGTGGTTTTGTAAAAAGGTGCTCAAGGATGTATATTAGGGTGTACCCTTACAACAGCTGTCAGCGTGTCAAGGTTAGTGGTGGAGCTACGTAACACATATACCAACCATCTCAGTTGATAGCCCCCAAATGCTCTGGTACGGCCGAAAATCAGCCCTCCCTCTCGAAATGCTCTCATGTGGCCACGCGTATACAGCCACTGCCAGGGAATTCCTACTCAATACCTCGCGGCGCGGGTGTTGTTTACGAAATCGAGAGGATGAAAGGCAAATGTCCAGCGTCGTAACAGGATTAGTGTACACGAAGGGTCCACTTACGTGAGTCAAAAACCCTGATTCCAAACCAATGGTGCACATGGGCTCCAGGATCCAGAGGGAACCAATTATTCGCCACCGGCCACCAGGAGATCTCATCTCCTAATGTTGCACTACTGCCCTGTAGGTCAGACCTTTAAGTCGAAGGCTCCGGATATGATCCCCTAAGAAAACCACCTGCTTCTGCTTAGACGCCCGAACAGTATCCTAGCCCACACACAAATCGAATGAGATTTGTGTGGTGCATATGTATCTGGTGCCCCCTTGTACCAACATTTATGTGTTCAAATAAATATCAGTTGATAACGATTTACTACCTCGTCAAGCAATTTCCCATCCTCACCACTACACTATTCTTAACCCAGGCACTACTTACTCAATGGTCCTAAACTACACGAACAATTCTTCGAAGACACCTATGATCGAATACTAGTAACCTACGAAGATCCTCTACTCTTAATAGCCACGTTTCACAACTATGAAGTTCGGTGGGTTGAAGTGTTGTACGCTAAACTTGTGCTTTTGTTGGCAAACGGATGTCCCACCTCCGCCACAAGCGACGCAAGTTGACAAAGGCCAATCGAGCTTTTTGAATCCATGCCGGGATTTCGTCAGACACCAACCCATCGGGACTAATGAGACTCTCATGATAAGCGGACGGTCGAAGCACCCTATTCTCCCACTTACTATTATTAGTTCAGGCCCTGATGCTGTCCAGTCTTGAAGCAACATTTGACATTTTAAGTGAGACAATCGGATCTCAAAAATGTTGGTGTTGCTCTCTAAGATGGTCAGAAGACCCAGCATTTTTCTCAACGTCTTCACCAAACAAAACTATATCATTTGCGTATTCTAAGTCATCGACTGAGATGGTTGGTCCACGTGTTACGTGTGTCTGAACACTGATTACCACGACGTGCAATGCTGACCAGTGTTGGAGACGGTTGGACGAAAGTTACGGGCGGCCAACCCAAAACGTGGCGTCAGTGCTTGAAGTCACTAACTTCTGGTCTGAGCCATGTTGGTAGATGCAGACTACTTGGTTGGGTTCCACGTAACTATCGTAACGAATGGTTGGAGACTCTTAGTGACATGGCTCAGAATCGATCACGATGGCGTGGGTGTATACACTCTCTGTCTTCCCTTAAACTAAGAGATTAAAATCGCTTCATATCTTTCTTTCTACGAACTAATTCTTTCTTCGTGTACTATATCCTTATTGCAATCTTTCTTTTATATATTACCACCTCTGAATTAACTACTTATATGAATCCGGTGTCCATCTTGTTGTGTTCATGAGGTATGGCAACTTGGACCGATGCATATATGTGCCTGGTGCTACGTTGTAACTGTCTGACTGACTATATGTTCCATAAAAATATGCTTGCAAACAACAAGTGTGTCTGTGTCATCTTATTTCTATGTAGTGTACTCTTTCATCGCCCTAATCTTACTCAGCAGGCTGCTTTGTGAAATGTTATGAACTGTTTAAACATGTCCATGCCACAAAGTGGTTGGCTTTCGAAACGTATCACCCAATAAAATATGTAGTGTTACTAATATGGTATGATATCGTTAATCCTTTCTAAACTTCTTTTTTGCAACATCCTCACTTAGATGCAGACTATAGAACTAAAAAGTCTCTCTGTTAGTACCGTTTGCCTCTCGAAGACCCGTATTTGAGATTCCAACGAAACCTCTTTTCCATGTGTTGATCTGAAAACTAATATTATGTGCTAATCTGGCTACTCTGTGCCAATGACCGTGTTAGGTTGTGCTCTAGAGTCGAAACAGAACTAGTTAGCTGGTATCCCATCGATAGTAGTTCATGTGAAGCTAGGTCAAATGCTTAAACAAAGTCTGTTATAGATTATTGCGGTAGATCGTAACACAATAGTCTACTGACAGTGTCAATGACTTCAACTCTGCCGCATATATATTTGATGCCCCCTTGTACCAATATTTATGTGTTCAAATAAATAAATACAACTCTGCCACTACTTCTAAAGTACTGGTCTAACCTTAGGTGTTCCTGTGTATGGATTGATTGCATATAGCATTACAACTGAGTATTATGCCAAGAAAACATCCCTTAAGAAGATATGTTATGGTGAAGGTCCAAATTTGTTCTTAGAGGAAAAACTTTTCAACGTTGAGTATGTGAATATTCCATGGTAATTACTGATGGTGTTCTGGGCTGACTCTTGTTGAACCTTCACGACTCCCTAGTTAAGACCCTTGAGATGGTGCGACACAGTGGCTAGAGACGTTTTCAAAGCTTGATGAAACCGAGAACCGATCAGTTACGTAGATGCTAGAGAAATCCAGTGATTTTTCTTAAACTGGTGGTTTTAGTTACTGTTAGATAACACTGCTCATGTGTTTGGTCATCGTGAAGCTACCTCGAGGGGGGAAATCACTTTCATGCCTGAATAACTCCTTAGTTGTTCCTGGAAAATATTCTTGATTTTTTAATCATCAAACTGAACTCCATGTGGTGGAAAATAAGCCAAACAAAAAGTATGAAACAACCGGCAGCTCGGGTTTGCAGAAAGATGATTAATCCTACTGTGACATTTCGAGTCATACCTAAGATCTTCCTAGAAACTATGATTATTATGTCTAAAAAGCCGTGGCCAGGTGTGTTATTCATGCCAAAGTTGATCATAAAATATGTATAAAAACCTATCTCAATATGATATAAACTGAATATCACTTCAGTTTTAAGCTTAGTAACTATGATGCTCATCACCATTAAGAATGAGTAAGCAATTAGTGAAGCGTCTAAGGACCAGATCCAAAAATATTTTGGCCACATATCGCGTTACATTATGACTCTAGGTCTTAGTAACGAATGAAACAAATTGCACTCACGCGTGATGACATAGTTTAAAGATCACCATGTCATGGTGGCATTTATTGCTCGATTCACAGTAATTAAACTCCGTTCCTTTACTTGTTAGTAACCTAAGTCGTTGCATTTTTCATAGCAGATTCTTTGGTTTATTTATCTGCCGTTTACTAGTTCAAACAGTCATGATCAAATTAGTGAAAGTTTTTTCGTTCTAAGTGAGAGCCAAAGTATTTTTTGTATTTGTATTATTTTAAAGCTTTCTCATGTCAAAAAATTATTATAATTATCATCACAAGGAGTTTTGTGGAGATTTTAGTAATTTCAGCAGTTGAAATCATGAGTCAAATAAAGCTAGACTACCATGAAAATCGTGGAAACACTAGACGGCGGTTTCGTCATAGTATGGGACTCCCCAGCAGTGCGCATCCACGATCCCGCCTCCCCCGCGAGATTCGAACACAGGACCTATCAGTCTCGCGCGCGAAAGCTTAACCATTAGACCACTAAGCCGGTATCCAACGGTGTTAATGTCTAACTTCAACCAATCCACGAAATTGCGCCACCGTACACCATTGTCTTCAGTGAGCTAATATCTCACAACAAACCTGGTTGAACTCCACTGGTCACGGCTTCCCACTACAGTTCCAGGACTGATGGGTCCTGGGTTCGAATCTCTCTGGGGACGGGATCGTGGATGAGCCCTTCTGAGAGGCCTCATACTAGGACGAAACGACTGTCCAGTGCTTTCAGGATTTCCATGGTGGTCTAGCTTCAATTGACTCATGATTTCAACTATTGATATTATAATTATCGTTAGTCTTCGCTTGCTATATCACATTATCTTGGTAATCTCGGCTCGTATGACGCAAAACTGTTGCATCACTACTCTCATTTTCGGCGAGATTTTGCACCAACTCTTGGATTTAGTTTTCTGTTTGTCTTAAATCACCATTTTACGTTCTCATGCAGTGCTCAATAAATAATGAACAAAATTTGTGAGACCATTTACTTAGGCCAAATTCATAAGTTATTGTTTTATCTTGATAAAATATTGATACTGCTACTGATATGGCTATCTGTTTGACTGCGTATGTTTACGATTTACGGCATCAGTTGATTGACTGCTTTAATTAAGAAATATAACTAAATTAGTGAGTTACACATTTGTTTTTTCTCGGTAGTAATATAACACTATTGCTGTATCATTCATGATTTCTAACCTTATGGTTGTACCTTATATTTCTGTAATTATTGAATTATCTGCAGATTTTTATATGATGTTCGTCTTTAGTTTTATCACCACAATATCAATTTAAGACTGTCACTATATAAGTCGGAGTTCGGTTGCCGAATAAATAAATTTAGTGAGTAGAACATAAAAGTACATAATGTATTAAATTAAAATAAACATCTATACATATGTATCAATGAAATGCTTTCTTACAATGCTGTTCAGAAGATTAAAACGCTTATTGCTCTGTATTTTTTTCAAAATCGTATCGTCAGTCATAAGCAACCTGAGGACCTAAATCAAATTTGCATCCGTTCAATTTATCATACTGCATCACTGCAGAAAATTCAAATTATAAAAATAAAAACCGAACTAGTAGAAGATTCATACTAAAAATGTACTGTTAGCATGTCATCTTCGGTTCATGGTCACATAAATTATGAGGTCAAATCGTTTTTGCTGTTGTGCGATTGCTATGGTTTTAATATATATATTTTATATGTAACTTCATTCCTATCAAAAGTCAATATTTATTTCTTATCCCGATTTGTCAACTTATTAGTTAGCCGCGCTTCGTTAGAGCTTAATGTTCCCGTCACCTGCAAAATCCGAATCTTTAGTGACGTTGAGCGAACTGTTCAGTATGCAAAACTTCTCGAAGCTGCCGGGGCTTCTATGCTTACAGTTCACGGACGCACCAGAGAAATGAAGGGTCAAAAAACTGGACTTGCTGACTGGAATCAAATTAGGGCAGTAAAGTAAGTTTAACTAATTTCATACTAAATATAATAGTGTAAGATAGATTTCACTGTAGGTATTTTTCTTACATTAATCATCTTTCTTTAAATTGTGTTAAGTTTTGGTGGCATATAATAAGTGGTCTTGATTTTTATTGACTGGAAATACCCATACTTTATCGGTTATTTCTAGTTGAAACAATCCTTAACAAACCAAGTTAACTCAGACATGCTACGTATAAAATGGCTAGTATTAAGAGTTATAACAAATATTAGTTTTTCCACCAAATAAACCTCTGCCAGTAACATCCTGTTTTAAATTGCTAGGTCAGTTAAGTATCAGTTGTGATCAAACGAAAAATGTCAATTCTCATATTTCTTATCTAAAGTTTATTTTATCCTTTTTGCAAAAAATTTTGACATAAATGGTTTCCACAGTTACTTCATATAAAATAGTGATCTCGAGTTACATTGTCTAAAGTTGAATATTTACATTAGGAATTATCTTATTCCATTCACCTTTCAGTGGTCGGGTTTATCTAATAAACACACATCATAAACCAAAATTTGGCTAATGCGCTATTTATCTGTCCTTAGTACAACCTAGTTGTGTGTTAATTGTGTATTGTATTTACTTTCACTGTTTTTCAATGTGATAATTTATTTTTTTTCAGAGAAGCAGTAAAAATACCTGTTATTGCCAACGGAAATATTCAGTATTTGTCAGATGTTCATCAGTGTTTGGACTCAACAAAAGCCGACGCAGTTATGAGTGCAGGTTTCTGTCTATCCAAAATGTTATTTATTTCGTTTTCTGAAATGTATTTCTTTAAAGCTATAGTTCGCTAGTTTCTGGTACATCGTTAGGATAAAAATCGATAAACTACTGAAATGGAATTCGCTGACACTAAATTTTCTTTTACATATTACTTTCTAAAAATTAAGAATATCTGAGCGAACAATTGTTTTCAATAACTTCTTCATCAGGCTCTACAGTTATAAGTTCATAATTATAATATATTACTTTCTTCTGGCTAGTGCTGGTTGTAATCCCCGTTTATCTCCTATTTTCTTAGTGTGTTGATGGATCTCAGCTCTAATTACTACTATCTCGGAATTAAATTCCTATGGAACGTACCACGTCCAATTTTTTTCCGATTTTATTCAACTGAAAATAATGTATTTTGGTGTACCGTGTTTCCCATTTTAATCAATATGAACAGCTCTGTATTCATTGTCTCAAACACCAAAGCATATCTTAAGAGTGTGAAAATTCGCGCTATCGGCGTGCGTTGTATCTCCGATACATGCATGCAAAATTCGAGTGTGGTAATCTATTTGAACACAACTCAATCAGGGCAATTTACCTTGTGTCTGGAGACCACACTAGTACTTCCTGTAATCTCGTTCGTGCAGGTACAGCACTAGGTTCAAAAACAGGGCAGGACATCTCGGACCGGATTCTGCTAAATAGGCGCTTGTGCGTTGTCCGACTAAACAAGATAACAAAACTCGGGGAGATAGGGACACGACATTGTCTCTTAATTGTGTTTTGAACGAAGCGAAAACTGAGTTTTATGGGATGCTTTCTGCTCTTCTACTACAAGATAGACGTCCAGGGAATATATGTTGAGTGCAATGCTTGATGTGTACCTTCACGTTTCGCCGTTCACTTACTTGGTTGACGCACTGTGATAGTTGTTGTGGGATTAGGCTTGAGAACGGATAAGTGTGGCCAATCAAAAACGTGTCACTAATCCATGAAGTCAATGACATTTGAACTCAACTATGCAGGTAGTTCAACACAACCTGGTTGGGGTGCTCGGGATTATTATAAATACTGTTTAGAGGCTTTGGGTGATATGGCTCAGATTCGTTCGCAGTGGTGCAGGTGCATTCACATCTTCCCTTCATTTAGATCCTAAGTTTCTAAATTATTTTTTCCTTCACCTGTAGTACTCTGGGATTTTCTCTGATAGTATCATTTTAGTGTGCTAATGTGGTGTAGAATCTATGACTGATGTACATACATGTCAGGTTCTACTTTGCGTATGGCTGACTGACTGACTAAATATTCAAGACGTGTAGAAAGTTGTCTAATTTAATATTCTAATTACAAATAAAAGACTAGATCAGCTTTCCGTATCATTTATCAATATATTTTTTATGTGCCTCACTTTTAACTTTTCTTCCTTTCAGAGGGTCATCTTCACAACCCGGCCTTATTCCTAGGAATTCAACCATGTATCTATGACATGTGTTTTGAATATTTAGACTTTGTGGAAAAGTACCCAACATCCATGCAAATCATCAGAGGACATATCTTTAAACTATGTCATCACGCGTGAGTGCAATTTGTTTCATTCGTTACTAAGACCTAGAGTCATAATGTAACGCGATATGTGGCCAAAATATTTTTGGATCTGGTCCTTAGACGCTTCACTAATTGCTTACTCATTCTTAATGGTGATGAGCATCATAGTTACTAAGCTTAAAACTGAAGTGATATTCAGTTTATATCATATTGAGATAGGTTTTTATACATATTTTATGATCAACTTTGGCATGAATAACACACCTGGCCACGGCTTTTTAGACATAATAATCATAGTTTCTAGGAAGATCTTAGGTATGACTCGAAATGTCACAGTAGGATTAATCATCTTTCTGCAAACCCCGAGCTGCCGGTTGTTTCATACTTTTCGTTTGGCTCCTTTTCAACGATGTTTCGTGTTCAATTTCCAACTTCGCTTGGTGTTATTTATACTCTGCTCATCAACTACTTACGTCTGTTACCCATCATGGTGGAGCCGAGGCTGCCAACTAGGACTCTTCAACTCTATTCTGGGCTCTTCCTAGTTGTTTCTGGTTACTAGTCATTCTTTTGATCTCTGCCTTCGCTTCCCGATGCGATGTGTTCCTGGGCCTTTCTTTTTCCCTTTCGCTTTCAGGATTCCAAGTTAGGGCTTGCTTCGTAATACATTTTGATGGTTTCTTCGATGTACTTCGTATCCATCTCTAGAGTCTTTCCCTGATTTCCTCTTCAGCTGGAAGTTGGTTTGTTCTTTACCATAGTACGTTGTTACTGATGGTATCCGATCAACGGACATTGAGTATCCTGCGTAGACAATGGTTTATAAATATCTGTACATTTTTGATGATGATTGTATCATTTTATTATCTCATACTTGGTGATAGACTTCAAAAACTTCTCACTTATAATTAATTCAATTTTCTCTTCTGAATACGGTTTCAGTACATGATTATATAGTGTTCTAACCAAAACCCCTTTGTAGTTTATTGGGCAGAAATCATTGAAATCTAAGTAAAGCCCACCACAAATGCCTTTCCGATGAATGGATCCTTCTTGACCATTTGAATTGGGCTGAATACCAATATCAAGAAAATGAAATTTACTATAATATTCATTTATAAGCACAGTTATTGTTGTGTTAAAGAAACAATATAATTTCGGTATTCGCCCATGGTTACTTACAGTAAATCCAACACTCAGTCAACAAAAGACAACCTTTGTGCAAGTTCTATAAATCACTATCCAGTTTTAACTCGTTTTCGAAGTCATGGATGTTGAGAGGAGTGTAAGTTGGTTTTAAGTACTCATTAACTATTTCTTATTGGCGAGTCGAAAGAACAAAAATTGCTACAACAGGAAGATCACCCCTATTCATAGTGTAGTCACCTCTTTGTACTAAATACAACAGACTAAGCAGTGAATTTTAGGAAAATGACCATTATTTTTGCCAACTCTTAAAAACAAGTTGTATTTTTATCACTAAGGATTACTTCTACTGGACGTGGCGCAGCCAATTGCTAATATCTGTTGTATAGGTTTTTATTATCTTACATTAGTGTTCAGCCACAAAGTCCTTTCTCTTCAGTGATTTGCATCTATGTAGATGAACAAACGTTTAGTTTTTCTAGGAATCTTAAACGTTGTCGTTACTTTCTTTGACAAATAGATTGGACGAACACTCTGAATATCGTTCACTAATTGGGTCTTCTCAATCAACTAAGGTAATGAAAGAAATATTACAAAAAATGGCAAATCACTGTTCAGTAAGTAAATCGTTTTTGAAAATTAGTAGTAGTTTATCCCAATTCACATATCCCTAATGCAATGGACTGTTAACCATATATTAAATAAGACCACAACCGAAGCAAACAATTTCAATAGTGCATGGCGAACACATATCAAAAGTAAAAGCGAAGTTTAGGTAATAAAAGAATCCCAAAAACCTCACAGTCCATGATCACGAAAATGTTTTGTTACTTTGTTACTACTTTATCTACTTATGCCTGATACTGTCCTTGGAGCATAGTCCGCTAACCACGAGTTTCCAACCCATTACTTTTCAGCTTTTGCTAAACTCTATTTATTGTCTTGATATCCGCCTCTGATTCTCGGAGCCATATATCATCTGGTCTGTCTCTTCTTTCAGTTTGAGGATTCCGAGTTAGGGCTTGATTTGTGGTGCAGTTTGGTGGTTTACGTAAAGTGGATTCTATTCACAACCAACATCTTTTCTCACTGGTCCCTCAACTAGAATCTGGTCTGTTTTCTGCTAGCGTGGGTTATTGCAGATGAACTCTGACCAATGAATATGGAGTATCTTGCACAGATAGCTGTTTATAAATACCTAGACTTTTTCGATGATGGTTGCGGCATTTCTCCAAGTTTCAGCTCCGTACAATAGAGCTGATTTAACGTTAGTGTTGAAAATCCTGACTTTAGTCTTGACTAACAGTGTTCGTGAGTTCCAGATAATCTTCAATCATAGGAATGCTACACTTGCTCGGTCAATTTGTGCCTTTACATATATATCAGATTCTCCTTGTTTGTCGGTTATGCTGCCCAGGTATCTTAGGTTTCCCACTTCTTCGAAAGCTTCACCATTAAACAAGACTTGGGTGGCACACGCCGTATTGTGTTTCAGGATTCGTTTCTTCCCTTATAGACGTCGAGGCCTACTTCGGACGAAGCCTATGCTACACTGGTAATTTCAGTCTGGATTTTTTGCTGTGTATTTGGTAGCAAAATCAAGTCATCTAAAAATTCCGAATCATCCAACTGCGTACTGTATTCCGCGCTTTTCCTAAGATGTAAAGGTCTTCGTAGTCCAGTCAACAGCTGGTAGAGAGGTGAATGTGAACAGTCTCGTTTGACATCAGTCCGCACTTGGAATTCATCCATAAGCTGCCATTTATACATGACTTTGTAATTTTGATCTGTCGTAAAAAAATCATGTGGTGGTGACCATTTTCTTAGGTATTCCATTGGGCTATCCTATCTACACTATCGAATGCTTTCTCATAATCAAGAAAATTGGTGCAAAGGAATGACTTTCATCCAATGAAAGTCAGCTTGTTGATCTCTGAATTGAGCATCTACTAAATAATATACGTATTGACGCACAACCTCACTATGGGGTCTGAGTTTTGTTCAATTTTAGGATTTATTGGAGGATATCAAAGGTTCATAACGACGATATAGAAATGTGATTTTGGGGTTTTGTAATTGTTTATACTGCTGTGAGAAATCTATGTAGCTCTTTGTAAGCATTTGTGCGGAAAAATACTGCTATCTACGAACATTTTTTTGAAAACACTTGGGTATACCATCCATGTCTCTTTGTACCAGTTTATATCACACGGTGATATGTCTCACACTCAGTGTTGTCCATGCATCATGCTTCTCTGGATGGTATCGGCTCAACTTCTTGCTTGTGTGGAATATTTTGTTCCCCATAACCAGAACACAATAACAGCTCTCCTGAAGTTAGTCTATTTTGCCCGGATTAGGTCTGGTGGGTCTCACTGATTACGAGCATAACCAGGCTGTATTTTATCGGTTCTGCGACTATTTAAGTGACCATCCAGGTTTCTCACGTACACATGTTTATTGTGACCTTGGTTGTCAGAAATGGCATCGAACTCGTATCTTTCGAAAAATCTTGGCTTTCGCCATAAGGCATTATAACTATTCTATCCAACAACCTTTCGATTCCAAGAGCAGAGTTTAGTTGATTTTTTCTGTCTAGCATTGTTTAGCGAGATGAGGCTGATAACCATATGCTCAACCCTCTCCCGATACCCGGCCTAGGACCAACAGTAGCCATCCAGAGGAGCCTCAGGCCTTTTTGCTTCATTGAACGCTCTGATTTACTGATAATGGTTGATTTTTTTATTTCAATGCCTATACCTTACTTTCTAATCCTTTGTAGCACTAAAATTGCGTTAATCAGGAATGGTCAACTATGTTTTCAACTATCTACAAATTTCTTAATTGGTCGTGTGAACGCATCTATACCGTCATAAGTCCAAAATTATATTGATATAAATAAACTCAAGGTTCAGTTGTAGAATGGTGGCTAATTGGTTAAGTTCTATGAAAAACGATTTTATGGATTGCCGAACGGATCGTCGTTTGCTGAAATAGAAGAAAAAACATTGCCAGTCGATTGACAACCTACAATGATACTATATGGCTTAGTGGAGGCTTTTCAAGCAACTGTATTATTGTCACAAACCCTCGGACAATGTGAAATCGAAGGAAAGATCACTAGCCAAAAGAATTGTTTTTTCATACAGTTAAATGATGTAATCATATACATAACATGAACACAAATAACATCTTAGTGAGATATCGGTGATCTGAGGAAATTAGTTTGTAGTTCACTCACTCTCCAAACTATCAAGACCTAACTATTAGGACTGGTTCTTCTCTGCCATACTATCAACGGATCTTACTGCCAGTTTAGAAGTCCTTGGTTTGAATCTCGCTCCATCTATTTTCGTTTAGGCAACCTGATAGATCGCCAGCCCCACTTCCACTTACAATGTGGCTCAAAACCAAGTACATGAATCTGTACGTGCTAAATTATTAATAACAGGATAAAAAGAACGGAAGTAAAGTATGTCATCCAGAAATAAAAGCCTCAGAGTTATGTAATAAATCGCGTTCATCTCTCGTACTGAAAGTATCTCCCAATGAGCTATCTTATTAGCTTCATTTGGCTTCTTTTCACTGTGAAGTCGCTGATCTATATGTCCGAGTTTACGCTAAAACAGTTCTTTGCTTTCAGGGGAACTTGTATCTTGTTTTTGATCGAAGTAAGTCGAAAACATTTACCAAGTTGGTTGATTACTTCTTTGTGTTCGACATTGATTTATAGTCGGCGAGAAACGGAGAAGTGCAAGAATAAACGAATTCATGTTGAACATACGTACTCTTTTAGCAATAAAAAGTCCACATACTATTTTCGGCTAGCTTTATATTCATTTTGACAGCGACATGTACATATTAGTCCTTTCGAGCATAATTAATTTCGTCTTATTTTTCGGTTTTGTTCGGGTAGTCTTGTGTGCGAAACAGTTCTACTAAATTACCCCATCCTCACTGGTTATGTCAACCTTATGAGCGACCAATTACATTTTCGGAACAAGCGAAAGTTGAAATCTCGATGCAAGCAATTAATGGATCGGATTTTCACAGTGTTGACAGTGACGTATCTGCTAAAAAAATTATGCTAATGGAGCAAAGACGTAGTCGGAAAGCTTCAAAGAAAGAGGTTAAACTTGCTAAGAAATTAGCAATCGTTGAAGGAAAGCTCATATGTTTTATTTGCAACAAGAATCGGAAAGTAAGTCATGTTAGTGATAGACTTCTGCATTTAGAAATTATTTGTGAGTTTACTGAAAGTATTGAGTTTTCTCATGCTCTTTGAAAACAGTTGATTCGGATAATTTTTGGGAAGCTGAGAAAGGCTATTCTATAAAAATCCGACCACACATATTTAATTCTACTATAATATAACTATTTGCTTACATTAAAAAATAATGGTTTTTTTTCAAAATGCCTGATAAAAAATGGATAATGGTTGTATGTTATTTGATATATAAAGCTAAGTAGTAGTAAAATTTTTATTCTGAGACGTGTTCCTCAAAACCGCAAACGCACTGTTGCATAACTGCTTTTGATGGTGGAATATTGATCTCGTGTGATTAGATGTTAACAGGCCTATTGAAATGCATTCATATTGTGTATTGAACTTTAAGGGGTATGCTTAGTTGTGTTCGTCTCATCATGTTAATGGTGTTGTATATTCACAATTGTACTTTTTATACTTGTATTTTGAAATGTCTCCGAAGTCAAATGAGTTTCTTTTTTATTACGATTTTAGAGTTTAAACTGTGCCAGATCAGTTTGCCGCACATGTTGTCAAAGTCAAAGTGAATCAAATTTGAATTCATTAACGAATACTTTTTGTTCATTCCATCACTGTCAAATAAATAATGCTATATTAGATTAGTAAATTTTTCTTTTCACAAATGACATTGTTTTGACACGTTAATGATGGTCATAGCAATTGTGTGCATGTTCTCAATATTCCTGTTCCATCCACTAATGTGAATGAATGTCAGAAATATAAGTTTAATGTTATGGATAAGTCGGGTATCTCGACCCCTCATGTTATGTGTCTTTCCAATTCTTGTCCAATATCAAACTTCCTTATTTTCATAGAAATTAACACTGGCCCATATTTTTTTCTTTAATTTTTCGCAACACATTTCAAGTTTAGTCTTGACGTTACAATAATACGCTCTCTAATAAAATTTATGTAATTATTCACTCCTATCGTATATTGTATCTATAACTTAAGGATTAACACTCATCAAAATGGGTCGCTTATCGAAAAAACGAGCCCGAAAATGCTTTAATATTTTGAATAATAGCAACTCTGTTATTACCCCGGCTTAGCGACTCCTTTTCCAACCGAGAACGTTAGGATTGGACTTAAGTTACGTATGCCGCTGGTTAACTCAGTATCTAATTTATTTACGAGTTCCACGTTAAGATACCATAGCATAGGTAATATAAAGAGTGAATTAGACGGTATATATGAGCAATTACGCGATATGCGTCCTAAAGTGGAGCTACTTGCGGGTTCTCCTTTTTATGCAAGAAATAAAGACTATCACCACTTCAGCTACTATTGGCAAGGGGCGTGGTTCCTGCTAATCTTGGAAACACTGATAAAACAGTATTTGTTATTGATTCTATTACTAGCCAAGTTACCAAGCTAATTACTAGAAATAACATGACTTTCTAAAACATACGTGACAAAATCCCGCTTAAATTTATTTTTTCGATACTGAACACATCCAACTCAGGATATTCCGTGCAAATGTTCTCGTGCCTTATTTTATTTAGATTCGACTCACATTTAGCAACTGGTCAATTTAGGCACCTACGAAGTTTAGGAATGCTCGCATAGTCTCAGATAAAACCACCAGTCAAAGGCCTACTCAAAAGCTTACCTCAAACGAGAATGATATAGAAAATACGATGAATCCTGCAAACATATCAACAGGACATACTTGTGAGACTGACATTGTCTGTCAGTCAATACTCTGATTTATCAAGGGAGGATGCTAAATTGTCACTGAAGCCTGTAGCAACCTCAGATAACCAGTGTATTATACCTTATGTAGAAATAAATCTTGAACATTCTGATCTGATACCTCCCAATACAACACTAGAGCGCATATTCAGACGTCTAATCCTAACGTGGAAGCTCTTCGGAACACTTAGAATTTAACATTCTAAACCATATGAAAAGTATGTACAGAAGTGTGTAGTTTCAATACCAGTACCAAACATATTACAAAGGCTCAACCAAATACAAATTCACTTCGAACACCAGGTTTTACCCTTCTAATCATGCTTCCGTTAACTATGAAGTATTAGTCGTGCCAACAAAATCCGACTTCACACGGGATTTAAAAAGTCGAAGTATTGATAATTCTGGGCTTTTACTGCCTATGGCTTTATTTTCTATATTCATAAAATACTTGCGTTTAGATGAAGCATTTCTGTCGATTAAGGTAAGTATACTCTGAAGTGCATACACGTCATTATGCTCGTAGTAGCGGTGTTTTAATTTCCTCAGCTTTCTTATAAAAGTATTCTGGCCCCTATTGAAATCATAAGCCACATGGCCAATAATTGGGGCAGTGCAGTCAAGGAAAATATCAGGTTGTGGTATAGATTGGAAAGCGCAATGTCAATATTATTTGTGGTAAGATAAGTTCCCCATGGTATACACTGAATAACAATCTCAGTCCGTAGCCAGGTTTTTTGATCATAATGTCTGCTCTGATACATCATTGAAGCTTTAGGGTTCAATTGTATGGCGTTTAAAAAATGGATTATACTCAATAAAACTCTATGATCACTCATAAAAACTCATGACTCATATGCACTGAGATAGTCTGTGTTGATTGTAAACAATAAAACAAGCACATTATTCCCCCTAGTCGGTTTTCGTACCTGTTGAACCCATCCACAAATTTCTAGTGTTTCAACTGGCTTGTTATACCTACCTGGTACCTGAGTCGAACCACATGTAATTTTGGGCAGATTAAAATCACCTCCGATGATTTTAAAGGTATGTGGTTGGTGCGAAGCAATGAAAAAGATGTTTGTTAGTAATCTGTCAAACTTAGTATCAGCATGAGGTGGCCGTGCATGAATCCCAACAGTAGATAATATTGAGATCCACGATTTACATTAACCCAAGTGGAGTCGTCTATAGCATCAAGAGATTCATCCTGCAATTTGCACGCCTGAATGTCTGGACGGGCATAGATAATTGTACCGCCTCCTAATCCATAACATCTATCGGTTCTAAAGAAAACGTAGTTATCTACATTCAAGGAGTGATCGGATATAGACGAATTGCACCACCTTTCCATAATAAGTACAATGGTTAGATTTACAAAGAATAAGAGGGTTTCAAAATGGGTAATTTCATTGGACAGAGAGCGGGCATTGGACAAAAGAATAAGAAACAGTTATCAGGGTGAAGCAGGTTGAAGTATAAGTCGCAATCGGTAATTCCATGAATGGTCGTAAGATTAGTTAAGATAAGAGTTGTGTTGCGAGTGAAAATAGATTCAACAACGTGATCACCATTTGAAGTATGTTTACCGTTGACGTCATGAAAGCGGTCAGAATTAGAAAAAAAGACCATTGCTATTGGATATAATATCTGATAAAATCGGATGATACATGTTGTGGAAGATTGTTTATATAAATGAAGAAGAGAGGAGGTCCTAGTACTGAACTCTGGGGGACCCCACTAGAGCATTCCATAGCCTGAGATAAAGTGAAGTTAACCTTGACCTTAAAATGTCGGTTTTTTGGATATGAAGCGAGTCAGTCAATTAGAGGTGATTTGATACCCAATCGTTTGAGCTTATTGATCACTTTGTTTTGGTTTCAACCTGGCAAGGGTGCGTGTCTAACCCACCTAGAAAACTATTCTTCAGTCCAAACCTTAGTTTGGATCTAACAACCATATTGTACTACCTGATGCCTTATAATAAGGAAAGGCGACCGGACGTTGCTCAACGTAGCAAGCTATCAGAATAGTACTTGCCAACGACAAACTTGTTGGGTTGAAACTTCTGGCTGTCCACGTCTTATGGTCATCACTACCCCACTAGTGGAGGAGTGATCTGTAGAGGTAAATAAATCCCCAAAATAAATAGCTCTGTAAGTCTTCGACACTGGATGCTGACCACATTAGTTTTAATGGACTCACCTAGCTAAAGGCGCTTGGTCATGCATCCGCCCCAGATCACGAGTAGAAACGCCGTGCTCAACATCCCCCGCAATCGCTAGCCAGTGTAAAGCAATCGATCCTCGATATATTGATAGCCTATCAAATGCATCTTCGAACCTCCTCACTTCTGTCTTTTGATTTCACTTGGTGGGTACGATTCATAGTAGAAAGTGTTACTGGTTAAAGCGTTGTCAAACTCCAAATACCTGTGGCATCTTCTACATCCGTTCGGTTTAGTACCTACCTCTCTCCACAGCTTCACATCATTCGCAAAAAGTAATAAGTCAGACGATACCTGTTGTGGAAGATTGTCTATATTTACGAAGAAGAAAAGAGATCTTAGTGCTGAACCCTGGGGGACCCCACTAGAGCATTCCATAGCCTGAGATAAAGTGAAGTTAACCTTGACCTTAAAATGTCGGTTTTTTGGATATGAAGCGAGTCAGTCAATTAGAGGTGATTTGATACTCAGTCGTGTGAGTTTATGGATAAGACATATATGGTTGACCCTGTCGAAAGCTTTACGGAATTCAAGGTAAGTCACTCAACCTTCCCCTTGCGATCAAGGGTGTTTGTCCATCTGTCCACCGCAGTCAGCAGGTCGGCTATACAATAATGACTTTTCCTGAAACCATGGTGTTTGGGTGAAAAGAGGTTTAATGATAATAAATAGTCGTGTATACCGTCGGGGACTCCATAATTTTCGAAGGTATATAGAGAAGGGCCACCGGTCGGTAACCTGAGGGTTTGCCGCGTCGACCACTTTTGAAAATTGATGTGATGTGATCCAGCTTTCAAATTTACGGTAGTTTGCCTCGGCGTAGCGCGTATGTGAACACCACGCAAAGCGGTGTTGCCAGGATTGAAGTTGCTTCCCTCAGTATAGCTAAATGAACCATATTCGGGCCAGGAGAAGTGTTTATTCTTAGGTGCCGTAGCTTCCGGTACACCAAGTCAGCGCTCATGTTCACTTCGGAAAGTCCTGTGCAGTTGCAGATGAAGCTCTCATCAATATAGTTAATATGGGTCAGTTGAAATGTCTGAGAGTATTGTTCAGTCAAAAGTTTGTGTCTTAACTTGCATGATTTGGTGGTGTCCACGTAAGTGAGTAATCTGTTGACGTCTGGAAACAGAAATAATGTCATTTAAAGCGTTTCAATTTCGCCATTTTTATTTTTTTAGTGGAAACATTGGATTTATTTTTCAGTTACTGACCATTGGAACTCTGCCATTATTCGCTGAAGATCAAATTTAATTTCAAAAATTGCGTCATATCATCAAGTACATTAACATGCAATTCTAAGGACTATTAATTTACTTTGGCAAGGAAGTGTTAGGCACGAGTGATCAAGCCTCCATTTCGTGGAATGTTTTGGTCGGTATAAGTGGACGGGTTAGACGGCTGATTCTGAATGAACTGTTATTGTTTACGGATGACTTCCAGAAGGCAGCTAATGGATTTCGTCTCATGTGATAAGCATAGTTTTTTCCTTAGTAGACAACGTACACTCTTTATGTACAATTGGAGAGATGTAATCATGCGAACTTATACCCAACACATAGGTGAGAACTGGGTTTCTTTAGTGGTATGCAATTTCGTCCTTCCTCATGACGTCGATACGAATTATTAATAAGACATATATTGTCACATACTTTCGATGTGACCGAGGATATTCAGTATG